TCTGGTTGAAGCTTGAGATCTTTCCCTTGTCTCCTCCACTTAAAAAGACCTGTCAGTAGCTGTCTGTGTGGAGAGGATATTCCTTTTCTCTCCAGCTTCTGTGAACTTCCATCCCAGCACCTCTCCTGCTCTTGGATCTTGCCTTTGTTCTGTCGTGGTAGTCAGCTCTGACCGAGCCACGAGTTCCTGTGAAATGCTTCAGTGGTCTAGCATGTTAGCAGATTTCTGTAGCGTACGAAGCATGGGATTTTAAATTTCATTAAGAACAAGTAAAACTGCCTGATCATCACCTTTTAGGCTTTCTGGGACTCCCAGAGCAGAAGCATTTATTCCCTGCGTAATCCTGCGTGTTGCTGTCAGATCGGGTGGTAGATAAGGGCCTCTCCGGGAGTGCTTTTGCGGAAGCAACACGCAATAGCCACGAGGAAGTGCCTGGGCTGACTGCGATGGCTGCAAGCATGGTTTCTTAAATCTTCACATTTCTTCTGAAGGCAGACAGCGTGCAGTACAGGCACGATGCTGGGAAAAGGCAATTCTTTCCCTGTAAAGACTTTTAGTCTTTGCCATGTTAAAGGTTGGGACTGTTCAGAAATAACTGATGATTCTGTTGCGTTTCCTCAGGGCGGCAGTCAGGACACAATTTCCTTTACCTGCTCCATCTGGAGGGAAAAAAAAATTAATACTGAGGATATATTTCTGAAGCTTGCTTGCTGCTGAGAATTTTTTGTCCAATTTGGCAGCAACCTGTCAGGTAACTTGATTCACCGTGGCGATACTGCAGAGAAATGGAAGTGAGACTTAAATGGGTTATAACACTGAAGCTTCAGTTTTGATCTTTATTTCACTAACACTCAGCAGCTTGTCGCTGCGCTGGAAATGTCTGGTTAAAGTGGTTTTGGTCCTCAGAGGAGATGTGTTTGCTGATCAAGTACCATCTCGCAGAGTGAGGTTAGATGAAGTACGATTCCCTGACGTGGTTTGTGGATCACTGTTCTTAACATCCTCTGAGTCCTGCGTGTGTCTCTTGTCCAGTCACATTTGAAAACCAGAAGAAGGAAAGGGAAGACATTGGATTTCTGGCTGTGCACCAGCATCAGCCCTGGCTCTGCTGGGTCGCAGCCAGCAAGCTCGGGTGATGCTGCTCCACACCAAAACCGTTGGTTAGAGCTGTAACTCATGAAGCAGGACAGTCCTGAAGATGAACAGGAGGTGCTCTTGGAGTGCTCTGGCGTGGTAGGGTGGCTCCTTTCCTTCCTGCTGTAGGAGCTTCTGCTTGGGTAATGACCACAGCAACCCAGCGTTGTGCCCCTTCTGCTTGTGCCACCTGAGCTGTGTCCCAGCAGCTGTTGTGCAAAAAACCATTTAGTGTAGAGATCTCCCACTGGATTGCCTGGGGAGATGTTAAAAGGTCAAGGCAGTGGTGCTGGGGTGCAGCAGGGGACACTGGTACACATCCAGCAGCCTGCTCTGGTGTGAATATTTTGTCCCAGAGAGCTGTTTCTGTGTCACAGGGTCCAGCTGTGGTTTGACAGGCCCATGAGAAATTCAGCTTAGGCATTTCTGTTATCTTGCTGCCCCATCCCCCAAATCAGGAGCATCTTCTGAGATCTGTGTCGTGAAGAGGGGGGAAGTTGATACAGAAGTTAAATAATTAGCAGTGAGTTCTGTTACACTGGGTTGGAAGATATTTGCATAAGTTAGTTATTGACAGAGTTGCTTAGGTTCCATCCCAGCTAAACTCCTCCTGACAAATTCTCTTTTGAAAGCTTACAGCTCTCTTGAGCCGATAAACTGAACCCTGCGTCCAAAAGCCCAAGGTCCGCCGTGCTGTTACAGCGCGCAGGGAGAGCTTCCCGGCCTGGCGAAGCCTCGGACAGCCCGTCGGTGCGCGGCTGACCTGGAAGCTGGTGGGGTTCAAACACAGACTGTTCTTCTGTGCTTCATCACTTGAAGTGGGAGCTTTGCAGGGACCTATTCCAAAAACGTCAGGGTCTGAACAGCACGGCCCTACATTTCTAAACACTTTTCTGCTGTTAAAGAGTCAGTTTCCCCAGGGTGAGATCCGGAGAGGGAAGGAAGAAAGTTTTACAACACTAAAGAAAGCAGTAATGGGAACTTTATTTTTGCTTGCCGTCATGTTTTGATTCAGCTGTAAGTATTCTTTATTGGAAGGCGACCCTGGAAATTTTTAAAAGTTTACTGAAGACTTTTATTTTCTCTTTTTACATGTAGAGATTGGCTGCTTAGAGAGACTGTTTAGGAAGCTCCGAGCTCACTGATGCTGTGGTTGGGAAAGACTAGGGACGCTGCAAATCTAGAACGCCGGTACCGAAAACTTTCTACTTCTGAACGCATGCATTGCAGCAGGCTCTGGCTGGGGGCAGCCCCGGGGCTCCTGGAGATACGGCGATGGTCCTGCTATCTGCAGCAGCTTGACGTGAAAAGTAAAAGCGCCACAGCCCGACGCTGCTCAGCTGCAGGGCTGGCTTGGACCGACTCCAGCGCTCGTGGCCGGGTGGCAGCTGTGCAGCTCGGTGCGGAGGGGTGATAATAGCACGGAGCTGTAAACAGGACGCTCCACCCTGCCTTGGTGCCGCTCACGCAGCCGCCGTTTTACCCGAAACGCTGTGCTGTGCGCGCAGCCTTTGCACCCCAAGGAGGGGCGACTGCTCCCGGCAGCCCCCTGCCCTGCGGGCTCCTTGGTGCTGCTTGGAAAACAAACAAATTGTTCAATAGTGGAGCTGTACTTGGTGAAAAGGAACGGCAGTTCCTGCTGTTCGTACGTTATAGCGTTAGATGTTCACCAGCCATCGTACACAGCTGATGCGGGGGTCACCGTAGGAGGCCGTGTCCCCTCTGCTCTGTTGCATCTGTTCCCAAGGTCTTTTCAGGCTGGCTTTGACTGGTGCTCTGCAGAAGGTTTGGAGTATGAAGGTGACCCCAGTCACTCTGGATACGATGGTTATGTCAAAGGGAGCCTCCTGGAGAGCTCGGGGGGGGACCACATGCTGTCCCAGCAGTGCGGGAGAGGGGCTGCCTGTTGCAGCAGCGTTTGGTTCTTCTGCAGACAGCCTTGCTGGGGAGAGCAGTGTGAGAGGAAGAGGCAGCTGAAGGCACACGTAATGGAGATGCAAGTAAAGAGACTGTGGGGACAACGAGGCACTGAAGAGGAAGCTCCAAACACTAACGAGTTTCTAGATGAGAGTTAGTGGCAGCTGCCTTACTGGTAACTGCTGGGAGCAGGGAGGGTGCCTTGAAAGGCCAGCTGGACCCTGTGCTGGACCTGCGTTGGGTCTGGTGTGGACCTCACGAGGTGTGGCTGTCTTTGTGCAAGGACTAAACCTCCTCTCCTCCTCCCACGTGGCTTTTTGCTCCTACCCTGTTCTCACCCAGAACTCGAATTCCACTGCCCAAATGGTATTTTAGCTGATAAAAAGATGTATTTAACAGGCCGAGTCCCTGGAACGGTCTCCAGTCTGCAGTGGGTGCCGCAGCACCTTTGGATACCGAGGTATCTGGCAAATACAACATGGTGCTTAACGCTCTGAACGCTGGCTGTAGTGGGGTTAACTCCCTGCCTGCCTGCCCTGCCCTCCTTTCAGGGGCAGGAGGGAATGTCTGTACACAAAGCACCGGGAGCAGAGCGCTGGGCATGGCCTTCACAGCTTGCCAGGAGGCCACAGGGCTGGTTCTAATATGCGTGGTAATTTGCATGTCTAATCAAAACGAAATGCAAACAAACTTTCCTGCTGGCTTGAACTTGCCTCTTTCTTGCTACCTTTTTGGCTTTGGCAATAGCACCTTTCTCCAGCTGCAAGGGTGACGAGAGGGCTGCGGAGAGGACAGCTGAGCTGTCTGTGCATGGGCTGTGCGTGGAGCACAGCGGGCCGGGACGCGACGGAGGGGACGGGGAGGGCGAGCGGCGCGTGTGCTCTGTGTGTCCCCTGGCTGCAGCCTGCCGAGAGAGACGCTTGGCGCTCGCTCCTGCGATGGGATCGCGCTGGTGTGCATCACTGCTGACACGCAGACAGTCTTACTCACAGAGCTCTTCTGTTCACCGTGTTTCGAGCTACCGTTACGGAAGTGATGTCTGCACGGGCGCTGTGGCCATCTGGTGGAAGCTGGGCAGACCCAGAGCTCTGGTCTGAGCTTGGGCCCTGCCAGCGGCGAGCTGTGACGGTGACCAGGTTGCACATCTTACCTTCTGGTCTTTGCTGAACGAACGCGCGCGCCTGCTAACGCACCGAGTGCTTGCGTGGTCCCGCTGCAGAACCCAGAACTCTGCAGACGTTCTCTTGGCCTCCTTGAAACTGCAAGCGAGCAATAGCACGTGTCCTCGGGGGAAACTGAGGCACACAGGCTCTCTTTTGAGAGGCCTGGGTTCTCTGACTAAGCGTTGTGCTCCAGTTAGTAAGAAATTTGGCCTTATGGACAGCAGAGTGGTGATTTTTTCCTACAGTGTTCACGCAAAAGCTATGTGGACACTTGGAGTATTTCAGTCGGTTGTGTAGCAGCTCCCTGGACGGGAATGTCTAATCAATGACTTCAAGCACCCACTTAAGGACCGCAATAAAATCTCTGCTTCTAGAGAAGCAATCTCTTGGTGATAAGCGTGGCTCTCTGCAGCGGGGCGGAGGAGTGAGGAGGAGGGCAGACCGGGCAGTCGGTCCGCCAGCCCTCGCTGGCCCTGTCTGCTGAAGTGGTGTTTCTGTTGCTGCTTGTTTGTGAGAGCTGACTCGGAGCAGCAAATCCGCCCGCGCTGAGGCTGGGAGCCGCACGGCCTTGGCAGGGAAGAGCTGCTGGGAGAGTGGGAATTCACCGGGTGCATTAGAAGCAGCAGGACTCTGGTTTCCAAAAAGTAAATGGATTTTTCCAGGCTGTACGGCGCTAGTTCCCTCCTTGTGATCTTTGCAATGGATGTGGGCTTGCTAATTGTGATGGCTATTGCTGAGTCTTGGCCTTGGGAGTCTTAATTTTGCTTTCTTTCCCCCCTTGTGTAGCTAGCGTTCCCTGTGCTGCTGCAGTGGAGAAGCCCTGCCGTCCCCGGCAGCCCCGGGTGCGGCGCACGTCTTCGCTGGACACCATCGTGGGCTCGTACCTGCTGGGACAGTGGCCGCGGGACGCGGAAGGAGCTTCCACTTCGTGCATGAATGACAAAGCTACCCAGGTACAGACGCCTGCAGACTGCCCCTGAAGTCCCTGGGCCAGGAGCGGGTTGCAGAACCGACACGAGCTGCGTAAACAGGGGGTGAATGGGGAAGGCGTTAAATTTCCATGCATCCAGCTGCAGCTTTCTAGGAAGGCTTTTTTTCCCCTTTTGCTTCTCAGCTTCAATTGATTCCACTTTGGTGCAGAGTTAGAATTTCCTTGGCCTTGTTTGGAGGCAGATGGCCTCTGGCTTTCTTCTCCAGTACTGGCTCAGTGCTGCCTTTTTTGCTTTTTATTTTTTTCCCCCTGGCTTGCAGTTGTGGGCCAAGTCCTTGCATAACGCTGGCGGGCCGTGTGCCACGCGCTGCGAGGAGTCAGGGGTGCTCCCGCAGAAGGGCTCGCGAGCACGACCGGCGCAGCGCTCTGCCGTCCGATGGAAAGGCTCCAGCCCTCGAGGAACTCTTAGCAACCTGTAAATATTGCTGTATGGCAGCAAACAGGGCTTGCCTATCTGCAGAGGTGAAAGAATTTAGAAGGATAAGAGCATGGGTTAGCTTAACGAGTTGTTTATTTAGCACGTTCAGTCTCTTTTAGCTTGCTGTTTGATCTTTGCTATTCAACAGTTTATTACTGGGCTGTTTGCAGGAAATTCTCAATTGGTTTCCAACTTCCATTGTCCTTTTCCAAAGTGTTCTTGCCTGCTTTTGTTTCAGTTCTTGTGCCCAAGAGCGCTGCTGAGGGCAGAGGACGTGCTGGAAAGGAAGGGAAAGAATTTGTCTAACTTCATTTCTGAGCTGGGGAAGCACACTCTTCCTTTCTGGCTTCAGGCAGATCAGCAGTGGTGGGAACGCTTAACCCCGGTGTTCTGGGACTAAGCAGTTTTTCTTGCGTGTGGCCCTTGTGGGGAAAGGCTTGGGGGAGAGGGGCTCCTCCTCCTCCTGGGAGTGGGAGATACCACGGTGTGAATTCAGAGTGTGGAGCCCAGCCCTCCTCCGTGCAGTGAACAGGCCAGGTGTGCCGCAGTCTTTCATCAGTTATCTGCAAGTGCCTTGCAAATGCTAATTTTACCTTGCAACACGGCTGTGAAACGAGCAGCCATCTCTCCTGTTTCACACACGAACCCCTGTGCGGCCTCTGTTGAAAGCTGGGAGTAAAGTCCTGGCTCCAGACTGCCCTGTGCATTCAGGGAATGTTCCTCGCAGTAACCTCGGGGGCTTTGCCACTCCTTCCATGTTTTCAGGCTTCACAGTTATCAAACTTGGGACTTTCTCTGCTCACCCGGACGTGTTTACTTCCCTCCTAGTTCAGCTGCCGATCAGCTGTTCTGCAGAGCTCTGTAGATTTGCTATCATGAGGTGGTTAAGCGAGAGGTACAGCTGCAGGTGCTCGCTGGGGGGGGAGGGTGGCAGCGCTGTACAGGATTGGAGCTTGTGGCTTTATCTTGCTGTGCAAAGCGTTTTTTTCTCTCCCTTTTCTGAGGAAGCGGTTTTGCCACAGTTAGTACAAAAGGTTCTGTAATTTCCTTCTGCCTTGACAGTCTGCCTGCCGGAGGTGGGACGCATGTGCGCTCTTCAGTTTCAGGCCTTCCTATTGCAAGCGGCGTCTTTTCTTCCTTTTTAGGCCCTTTGGGGTTTTTGTGAGCCCCGGTGCGGTGCGCTGGGTATCACGGCAATAAATAGGCTGCGGTAAGTGGCTTCTTGGACAGGGCTCAGGAGGCTTCCAGCGGCTCGAGGAGAGTTGTGGCACGTCCTGCGAAGCCAGGCTGTTGTTAGCAGCTGGAGTTCAGCTTCCCACAGCCTTGCTTCTTGCCGTAACGTGGGACAGGGCTGCGCGCTTGTCTCTTAGCCCTTTGCCTCTTCTCCTGAGCCTTCTTACGTGCATGGTCTGCTGGGATAGCAAATGACACAATGGTTTGGGATAACGGCCAAATAATGATGTTTGAGTCGTTTAGGAGAGCGTATCCGAGGTAGGAAATGAGATCAGACGTGCCGTGTGCTGAACCTGCAAGGCTGGTCTTTGCCGTAGGATTTCCTATCGCGTCGGTCTGTTCCTTGGCGCTGGCTGGCGCAGTTCGGCATGGGGACGGCTGCGACAACGGCGCTGAGCTTAGCAGGACCCCAGAGCAGGGGCTCAGGCTGGGCGGATTTCTGCCCTCAGACCAAACTGAACGCTGTAAATCGAACAGAACGGCTCCGGTGCCGCGACGTCTGCCGCGTACAGGCGTTGCAAAATGGAGACCTAGGCAACAAATGGTTTTAGCTGTAGGGAACGCAGCGTGCTCTGCTTACGGTGGTGTGTCTGTAAGGAGGGGTTTCGTTCTGAGCCTGGCAAGTCAGGAGGGGGTGGGATTTCTGCTTAGGAATCACCTGTAGCCCTTTACAGAAGGGGAACCTGGTCCCTCTCTCGGCAGCTTGCCTTATTCCTTTGGTTGAAATAGATTTTGAAACCTGTTTTGAGAGAAGAGGCTTCTGTCATCCTCGTGACTCAACGGGGTTGTTTAAAACAGCTGCTGTTCTTGCAGCAGCCTCTGGGGAGATCAGCTACGCTGCTTGGAGAGGAACTGTTCTCAGGCCCTTGCACCTCCTGGCAGCCTGTGGCTGAGGCTGGAGGAGGGAGGTAGCGTCCAAAGCCTCCCACGGAAATGGCAGGCGGCAGCGGCACAGGGTGAGCGTTTTGAGAGGCGCTGAGATGGGAGGTTGGGGAAAAAATGACGGCTGGTCTTGAAAATGATGTGTCTTGGGACCGTTCTGATCCTGGAGTCTCTGCCGAGAGGGCTGAGCTCAGTGGAAGGAAGGTCACACCCGTTGCTGATCAGATTAACAGCCCTTTCTGATTCCCATTGATATTCAGAATGTGGCTGTTTCTTGGAAAACAGCTGTGTAACTGGTGCTGAGGCTGTTTTTCTGCATGAGGGGAGTCAGCCGAGAGCTGCCAGCCCTGCAGGCAGAGGGCCGGGAGCTGGAGAGGCAGCGCTCGCTCCGCAGCCCAAACCCGGGGTTTGCTTACGCCTTTGAACTCCTCCGACGCGGGAGCCGGAGGTCTCACCTGGGACGGGAGCCTGGGCACGCGGCGCAGGGGCGGCTGCGGTTGCTGCTCCGGAGCAGCGCTTTGGTGCCCTTTGTCTTGCCCAGGTGCTCGTGGTGATTAAGCCACTGACTTCTGGGCAGGTCACATGCCACGTAGGGCTGTGAGGTCCAGTTTCCCAGTATGCGCAAATCTGGCCAAAATGACTTTGTTTTGGCAAATATCAATAGTTGGCTAGCGTTAATACGCATTGCTGAGGATTGGATGAAGGGGGGGAGACTGGAACAGGGCTGTCAGCGGGCAGTGGTTGGTCGCTTACTCTTAGGACTCGAGCACCAGTCTCTAAAGCAGTAAATGTCGTGATGTTCTCAGCCGTGTTTCTCGTCACTTCAGACTCCAGTGTCCTGGCATGACGCGGAAGCGGGGAAAGCCAGCTCCAGTGCTCACAAGCGTTCTGCTTCTTGGGGTAGCACAGATCACCGCAGAGAGGTAAAACAGACCGCTCGCAGCGCTTGAGCAAGATCTGTGTGTTAGCTGCTAACGTATAGGAGGCTCCTGCTTGCATGAGAGGGGAGTGGGAGGACAGGATGCTACTGAAGATGAGACCTCAGCCCTTGTTCTCATCCCTAATGCTCTGTGATTCAGCTGAAGACTGATCTCGCTGGCTTCCTCTAGCAGGCAGCTATCGTAAATTAGCTCCACGGAAACTCAGCGCGTTGCTCGTCGGTGTCGTGGCGCGCGGGGCTTCCAGCGGGGCCTGGTTCCTGGTGCTCCGTAGGTGGAAGAGAGCCCAGACCCATCGGAGGAAGGGCTCTGGCAGCGGGGGGGGCTGTGGTGAGGCCTGGCGAGTGCTTCTGGTCCATCCGTTGAGAGGTGGCCGGGGCTGCTGCTGGTGTGCTGGAAGCCGTTTCTATTTTGGCACTTCCTTGTGGGCTGGAAGAGAGGGAGAGGAGAGAGCCAAGGCACGATCCTAGTTGGTGGAGGTGCGTTGGCTTGTCTGGCTCTGCAGCTGAAACTTTGTTTGCTAGATTGCCAAACTGAAGCAGCAACTCCAGCGAACAAAGCTAAATGGCAGAAGTGGCAAAGACAAGGAGAGGAGCTCCCCGCTCCAGGGGGACCATGCTGTCCTCGCACCGCTCAGGGTACGTTCACGTCTCCCCCTGCTCTGCTGTCACCGTGTGTCCTAGCGAGGTAGAGAGCAAGCTCCTCTGGGTGGGTGTCCAGGCTGTTCTCACACTTCTGCTCTCATGCCTGGGAAGGGAGAATCTTTTCCTCCTCTTCTCTCACCTCTTCGGTGTCCCTGTGCTTTGATCTGCAGTTCGTGAGCTTATGTGACTCCGCTGTCAGTTGTTTCCTGTCAGCCCCCAGAAGACTTTGGCTGAGCCCCGGGCAGCTGTGGGGACAGGGGCTGACTGCTGAGTTGGAGCGGGTACAGCTCTAACTTCTCCCCTCCTGGATTGTTCCAGGACTCTCCTTCAGGCTTCCTTTCTCCATCTCCCGTTCTGAGGCTCAGCCCCTGCTTGCACAGGAGCCTGGAAGGGCTAAACCAGGAACTGGAGGAGGTGTTTGTGAAGGAGCAGGGAGACGAAGAGCTGCTGCGGGTAAGCGAGGGTCATGAGATTGCCCTGAATCTTCTGGGTGGTCTTGAAAATCCTTTCCTCTACAGACGCGGGCTGTAGCTGGTCCTTGGCCATGGGGACGGGCTCGGTGTCTCGTTTCAGTTTGTTCTGGGCATGTAACTGTCTAAACTGGGTCAAGTGGCTGCTGGCCTCCCTCCTGCCAACTTCTGGTGCCGGGAGAGAGCAGCCAGTGGTAATCTTGGGATAGAGGACGCCTCGCTGGCAGCGTGGGGCACTGTCTTAGACTGGCATCCAGGGGCCTCTCTGTGCTGCGCAGATCGAGTCATAGGATTGTTCAGGTTGGAGGAGACCTTCGAGATGGAGTCCGACCATTAACACTGTCAGTTCCGCCACGAAGCCGTGTCCCTAAGCTCCGCATCTACTCGTCTTTTAAATACCCCCAGGGACGGTGCCTCAGCCGCTTCCCTGCGCAGCCTGTGCCACTGCTTGAGAGCTCTGTCAGCACAAACATTTCTCCTGATACCCAGCCGATGTGGGATGTGGGGGAAGGGACCCCAGACAGCGTACCAAGTGCAGCGCGTTGCAGGACACGGAAGGGCCGTGTCCTTCTGGTTGCAGACGGCCGCCTCGCTCCCTGAAGCGGCCCAGCACCCAGAGCAGCCTC